GCTTCCTTGCTTCCTTGCGTCCCGTTGTCAGTCGAAGCCTTGCAGTTGGTGTGTCGATGCCATTTTGAGTCAATGACCAGGTGAATGCGGAGGCGGGCCGCCATGTTCTGCAGACAACATGTCGCCGCCGCCCTCCTCTGTGCAAACGAAAAGCACTGCCAGGGTTGGCGACGGATCGACGGGGCATTGAAATGGCCAATGCAAGCGACACCCCAGCAGATCCAATGGACGTGTCGACGATGGAGATGGTGATGGTACCTGCATGAAAACAGAGAAGTCGGGATCCTGCAAACCTGGCTCGGCCCCGGGCCCCGGCAATCATCGTAGGCATTGAGCGATGGTGACTGCAGTAGGGCTTGGCAGGGCTCCAAGTGGTGTATTGGTAGCGCTGCTTGGTTACCTACCTTACCTAGGTGCCGACCCAAGTCATGCTCCCCAGGGACACCCGCCCCTCGAGGAGCGCCTACCCAGGCAGGTATGAACGGACAGTGCGCCGAGGTCCCAGCCCTTCAGGTACACTTCTCCCTTGTGGCAGAGCCCGAATGGTGGTGAGCGTACCGTATGTGCCTAGGTACCTTAGGTACCTACTGGGCTACCCTACCTTACCTATCTAGGTACCCAGGGTAGTCCCAAACAGGGCAGATACAGTAGTGCAAGAGGGGTGCGTGCCCTGGCCATGAATGACCCTTCAACGATGACTGCCTGATGTCACTTTTTACCCATCGCATGCAAGGGCTGCAGACCTGAAAGGACCCATTCGGGTCGGTACCTGTTTGTCCTGTTCTGAAGGCCAGTTGTCCGCTTCCGTCAAGGTACCAAGACAGACTGCTACCTAGGCACCTCACCTTGCCTACCTACCTTAGGTACGAGTAGATAGGTAGTTAGATGCCTGCACAAGGCAAACCTGGAAATCTGAAAATCTGAAAAGACCCCAAGAGGTGGTGCTGTGCAGATGTTTGGATGCCTCAACATATGTGCTGCATCCGCCTCGTCACCACGGAATGATGCTAATTGTCATGCGATTTCCCATGTCTCGTCTGGTCGAAGAGGGGTTGGTTCTTCTTTTTTTTCTTCTTCGTCTCCTTGGCGAGAACGTTTGCCTGTGCCCCCATGGCTAGCCAGTACACGTAGGTCCTCGGTCAGGTCACTCCAGTGGAGCAGGCAGGTTTGGAGTGGGCACATCGCTGGCTGACGTTCCCTGGCTGGCCGAATAGCGTAGCCCTTATCGACACCCCCCCCCCTCCAGGCTGTCGCTTCAGGTCCTCCCACTGCTTGCGTCCAGCTTTCCCCCAAGGTACATGTAGACCAGGCCAGGCAGGGCAAAGACAAGGCAAAGAGCCAGACCAGTCGCAGCGTCCCATTCAGACAAAGTCTCTCGCTCACCCTTCTGCCTTTCCACCATCTCCACCATCCCCAATCCACACTTCGTTCTCGTCACCCATCGCCTGTCGCCGTCTGAGTTCTTCTTTCCTCCCCTCCCACCCCCCCTCCCGCCACGCCGACTCAACCTTCTTCTTTTCCCTCTTTCAGTCTTTTTCCGAAGGCCTTCTGGGTTTCTGCACATCTTGCTGTCATTGTCCCCCTTGTCGGTAGCCTGTCGCGTTCACGTCGTTCAGAGCATTCAACCTATTCGCTGTCTGCCTCCCAACGTCTACCGTCCTCTTGGTCAGGTTTGCTCGTGAGAAGAAAAAATCCTCCTGGCTTGCAGCTTGTCTACTTTGCATTCGGACCGCTCCCTCTACGACCTAGACGCCAATTCGATCAACGCGAAGCCGATTTCCTCGCCTTTCCCGACGACGATTCCATCCAACAGCGAACTGTAACGGAAGGCTCTTCTTTGCGCAGCGACTCTCTCGACGTCATCCGTGTTCGTCGTTCCTCCTGCCCGCCAACGCGCGTAACCCAAGTCAATCACCCTTAATCCCCCCCCACCACATCTGCCTTCGCAGACCTCCATACAACCATTTCCCCTACGAGTACTACGACATCATCTCATCGGCATCCTTGAGTCTAGAACGTGTTTTTGTTGGCGCCTAAAAGTGAGTTGATTCTGTTGCGCATCTCCTTTGTTTGTACCGGCTTGTCTGGCGAGAGTTCCCGTGGTCGCCGTCGCCGATTTGGCCCCCCCCCCTCCCCCCGATGTCCTCCAACTCCAGCTGTCGGCTCTTCCGGGTTGTCCATCGAAACCTCAGCGCAACGGCAACCACCTGGGTCGCATTTGGCGGCTGTCTCACTCTGCAATCAACGGCCTGTATAGTGAGCGTCGCCACTGTCTGCTCCGGACAGCGAACTGTTTGGGGATCCCCTCCTCAACGAAACCCCTCCATGCATGCATCTTGGATCCTGGATCTTCGACTACCCCGTCAATGTCGATCGATCGCGTTCCGACTGCCGACTGCCGGACCCCACGACCTTCCGCCACTGAGACGCACTTACTGCTTGCTGCACGACGGTCATCGCGAATGAGGCGCAACAACCAGCGCACTGCAGACTCTCATGCATACCGGAGGAAAAAGCTTGAACCTCTGTGATGACGTCTCGCCATGCCGTCCCCAGTATCCCCGCTGGACGAAACGCAGACTATCACCAACTCTCGGCCCAAGGCCTTACCTAGGCATCGAGTGCCAACTTGCTCCTAACCACCCAACAAGCTTGCATTACGTCTGTGCTATTCTTCGAATCCAACATGCGGCAAATACTCTCGCGTCGGGATACAGCATAGTGCGCCGACACTGCTTGCGCAAACTGGACACAACCTCCCCTGGGATTCACAACATCGACTGGCAGGAATGAGGCCTATCACGAATAGAACACCGAAAATGTCGATATGTTGGAGAGAATCCTGACTTGCCTCGACACGGAGAGCAAGTCTGCACAGGCATTAGAGAGACTGGATTCTGTTCTTCGCAACATGCCCTCGGAGCCCAGCAACACAGCTTTGACACCTGGATGGACAAGCGACTGGGATGATTGACTGTTGGGGCGGGACGCTGGAAGGCTCATTATGTTGTGTTGCTGCAGTTGCTAACAATTGGAACAGGTCACGACATCTTGCAATCTCGAATACTCGACAATCCGTTGACGGTCATCTCGACAAACGCTGTTTCCCCCGGTCTTCGGCGTATTCCTGAGCTTTCAAAAGTCGATTTGGAGCATCTTCTTGGAGTTGTTCGACGGCGGCTTTTCGCATTTTACTGAACGAACCTATCGGAGCGTATCCACTTCCACTTTACCAGGGTGTGCCGGCGTCAAGACATTCGTCTTTGCTACTTTCGATTCACGGAGTACGGGGTCAGGATACAGGTCGTTGTGTTCGATTCTTTCATCCGACTGCCCTTCGTGGTTTGACAAATCAGTTTTCTGTTTTGCGAAACGGTGTAACGGTATGTTTCTCACAGTTTGATGGATCCAGTTCGAAACGAGTTCGGCTCGAACAATACCCAGGGGGGGCCGACCTGATGATCCCGAAGGTGTGGTGTGGTTCGTTTGGTCACAAATAGACCACGACCGGTCACAATTCGTGTGCTCATTATGAATCGGAAGTTCAAACTAACTGATATTGTCAAAAGATTACGATACAAGAGTTCCGACTTAACGTCACATTGAGATCAAGGCTTCTGACTTGTAAGTGGCTTCTGCAGCCGAAATCGCATGCGTGATGCATTTGCACAGGGTGCTTACGCAGATGACAGAGTTCTGATCTTGCTTTCTTCGTCCAGTCGATACCCATCTGCTGCTCGTCCTATGTAAGCATACACGGCTTTTTTCAACCCCCGTATCCTCTGTCCACACGCTTGATACATCCAGTGCATAAGGGTCCTCTTTGTGAGCCCCTCATTCCCTATTGGCTGTCATGGTCATGTTCTTGATTGCAAGAAACTGCAATCCACTCCACGCTTTTCCTATAGTCATTCAACGCCTCTCCTCGCCTGTCACGACTAGGCCGACCACATGGGTGGACAGGACCTTTGAGATCAAACTTTCCCACAGGGTTTCCTGTGTATCCCTTGTCGGGCGCCTTTGTTAGGTTCCGCTGCCAAGAAATCACCGTTGCTTTGCATCTTTTCACATGGCAAAGCGTTGATACCGAGAATATCGTGCAGGTAACAGTCTATTCCAGTGAATGAGGCAAGAGCACGATACTCACAGAGAGAAGGACCAAGCGCTTGCCCGAGCAACTTGTTCCTTCTTGCCGCTTATCCCGTTGTTTTTGTTCTCATTTTTCCTTCATGATTCGCCATTACCTCCTCTCCATCAACCAAGCTGGAGTCCAAGCTGACAACATCAACCAATAGCTTCTCTACCCACAAATTCCGACTTCTTTCCGAAGTTTACCCACAACAGCCTTCAACCCTTAACCCTCCACACAACAAATTCCGAAGTTCTTCCGAGCTTCACTTGCACATCACACCCTTTTACATCCTCACTGCAACCAGACGGAAACAATGGACGGAATGCAGCCTTACAACAACGGCACTCCGGGTGCCAACGGCGCAAACGGAGATGGCTATGGAACTCCCGTTGCTGCCGGTATGGGTTATCCGCCCAACGCCAACGAGCTCACTGGCCCTGGCAACTCCCCTGATGGCAACAAGACAACCCTTTGGTAAGTCAAGGCTTGCATGCCTTGTATATTTCATAATTGCTGACCTCTTTCCCTCTTCAGGATGGGAGAACTCGAGCCTTGGATGGACGAGAACTTCATCAAGGGTGTCTTTGCCACTGCCACCGGTGAGCAGGTCAATGTGAAGGTCATCCGTGACAAGAGCTCCGGGTATGTTCTCTCTCCCAACTTTCCCCTTTAACATGGGACGGATCAGCCTCCTGCGAGATCGGATATCAGTGGTCGAGGTTCTGCAGGCTCGCTTTACTCTGTGCAGGTCCGACTGACTCGTCTTAGCAATGCTGGATACTGCTTCGTTGAGTTCAACTCGACTGATGCTGCCTCCAAGGCTCTTGCCCTCAACGGTACTCCGGTCCCTAACTCGGCCCGTATGTTCAAGCTCAACTGGGCCTCTGGCGGCGGTATCAACGATCGCCGGTAAGCATGATCACCCTCAATCTGCTGCTTGTACCCAGCTGACTGGTGCCTTCAGTGATGACCGCGGTCCTGAGTTCTCCATCTTCGTCGGCGACCTCGGCCCTGAGGTGAACGAATTCGTCCTCGTCTCGCTGTTCCAGGCTCGCTTCCCCTCCTGCAAGTCTGCTAAGATCATGACCGATGCTGTGACCGGACAGAGCCGTGGCTACGGCTTCGTTCGCTTCACGGACGAGCAGGACCAGCAGCGTGCTCTGGTCGAGATGCAGGGCGTTTACTGCGGTAACCGACCTATGCGCATCTCCACCGCGACGCCCAAGAACCGGTTGGTCGCCTCCAAGAAATCATCTCTTCGGTCCCATGCTGACACGTAACAGTAACCACGGTCCCTACGGCGCTCAGCAGGGCCACCAGATGCCTCCTGCCATGCACCCTCACCAGCCCCAGGCTTTCTACGGTGTCCCCCCCGGTCCCCAGTTCAACCAGGGCTATGGCGCTGCTCCCCAATTCCAGCAGCAGCAGATGAACCAGTTCACCGACCCCAACAACACTACGGTTTTTGTTGGTGGCCTTTCTGGCTACGTTACTGAGGATGAGCTTCGTAGTTTCTTCCAGGGCTTCGGTGAGATCACCTACGTCAAGATTCCTCCTGGCAAGGGCTGCGGCTTTGTGCAATTTGTCCACCGCCACGCCGCTGAGATGGCCATCAACCAGATGCAAGGATACCCCATCGGTAACTCTCGCGTCCGTCTCAGCTGGGGCCGCTCGCAGAACAACTCGGGCGTCGGTACGCCTTACCGCCCTGCTCCCCCCCCTCCCCACTACTTCGGTCCTCCGGGCCCCGGTGGCCCTGGCTATGGCCCTCCCTTCGGCGGCCCTCCTGGCCCTCAGGGTCCTCCTGGTCCTCCTCAGGGCCCTCCTGGCGGCGGTCCTCCTCAGCAGGTTTGTCTACCCTAATCACTTTCGGGCTGTATCGATCTGACCCTTGTGCGCACAGTAAACGTGATCGGCATTTTCCCCCGACTTTGCACGCTTTCTTCGCCTCTTGCGCTTTCGCTTTCTCACCTCTGACATCCGTCATGGTCTAGCCTGTTGGCGTCTCGGCGAAGCGGAGTTTGGGATCTGGTCAAGGCATTTGACCACAGCAGTTCATCCTCGATTTCCTTTGTCTTCACGCGTATGACGATTACGAAGCTTCGCGGCACTCGACAGTTCTTTCTACGCTCACTCGACGCACTGAAGGCTTGGTTTGCAATGCCCGTCCTTGCACACCACTCCACTCTGCCCTCCTTTGCGCTGATTTTGGCTTGGTTTACTCGGCTGCTTATGCTTAGTCTAGTCACACGATCAAATCTCAGTTTCTGCTTTTCCAGTGTTGTTTGCTCTTGCTGGGCGTCGTTTTCTTTCCACACCCCTGGGGTTCCATGCGTTGCTTGTGTCTTGCTCTTCTGGATGTGGAACCGCATGCCTTGCTGGAACGGAAAAGCGCCTGTATTTTGTGACATCTACTTGAATGTCTGTGTGCTCATCTTGTGTATCTGCGTACAACTGACTGAACTGGGGCGTTTTCCGGATGATTCTAGTCTCAGCTGGTTTGCGATGGTGCGAATACCTGGGTCCGGCGAATTGACTTGTTCGAGACGATGCTCATGGGGCGTATCAAGGCGGATAAAGAATTGCAGTATTAGGACAAGGCTGTCAATATTATCTCCTGTGTTTGTAAGGCCGCTGCCATCGACTCTCATCTCATGACAACCTCTCCCCCTGTGTTAATATTATGTAATTATTGCGCGCGAGTATCGAAACGGACCATCTGTTGATGAAAGGACAGCACTGGAGGAGATTGACTTCCAAACAACCCTCGCCCTCCGATGGCCCAAATTGCAGCCGCATTGCAAGAACTGAAGCTTAGGGCGCTCTCGGATCGTTTGGTCGTGCCTTGACCCAGCAAGCTATCCGATTTTAAGCTGCGCACTGCAATATTACGGCGCTGCTGTGTATTGCTGCTGCCTCGAGAGGAAAGAGGCATACCGATGTCAGCGCCATTTTTCGATCATCATTGACCAAAGCATCAAATAATTGCTACGGAATCTCTACGTCAGCCGGTCAAAGATATGTTCATGAAGTCCATCACAATCGTAATTCGTTCGCGCAACCCGTTCAGCTGGATGTTTTATTCTTCCAACCCTCGAAACTCGCCTCCTCAGTCGTCTCGATCCGGGTAGTACGACAGCGGGTGATAGGCGTCAAACTTGTCCTCAATCTTGGCGCCCTCCCACGGGCTCGTGTCAATCTCGGCGATCGGGGTCGAGCACTTAGCCGCCAGCGCGGCCTGGGCCTCGGGGCTGTTGTAGGGCACGCAGGGGAGGCCGAGGTCGTCGCCGATACCGTCGCAGATGATGACGGGCTCGCCGCCGCACGGCGACTTGACGTTGAAGTCTTTGATGACGATGTTGTCGCAGACGGCCGAGTCGGCCGTCGAGCAGGAGAGGCGGGCCACGGCGTTGCCGTAGACGCCCGACGTGTAGCCGGTGAAGTTCTCGAAGCGAATGTTCGTGATGTCCATGCCTGAGGGGTACTTGTTGCACTCCTCGACGGACTTGTTGAAGTAGCACGAGTCGAGAATGATGCCGTAGTCCATGCGGGCGACCCAGAAGTTCCTGCGCCTCTTGTTAGAAACCGACTTGTCAAGAGTTGGGGGGGATCGGAGCCTGGTCGTACTTGAAGGTGACGTTGTTGACGTAGCCAGTGCCAATATCGGCGCCGGCCCAGATCTTGATACGGGCGCCAGAGTACTGGTGAAAAAGTAAGTATGTTTTTCCATAGTTGCTGTGTTGAGTCGTGAATAATGGGACTTACATCGCCGTTCATCATCCAGACGTTTTCAATGTGGACGTCATGCACGTTGGACACCTCACCCTTGTACTGACCGAGAGATCCCATCGACTAGAAACTGTCAGCTTGACTGGTCTCGCTGGGGATAATTTTTGCTCCAAGCGTACCTGGCCGTGAGTGCCGTTGCAGTACATGGTGTTGACGTAAAGGTCGGAACTGTTGGGCTTGGGAGAGAAGCAGTCGTCGTCAATGTTGACCCAAACGCGCTCGATGGAGACACTAGACGTGTTCATCGTGTTCATAAAGTCGGTGTTCTTGGGGATAATGCTGCCATTGTTGGAGAGAGCTGTGGCAATGACGTCTGTGTACCTGACATTCTTGGCTTAAGAAACGCGTTAGTGAGACAGACCTTGGCAATATCTATCGGGAGGGTCAACGTACAGCTGACGATGAAGTTGTTCCAGCAAGGAGAGTCCTTCAGATGGATGCCAGAGACGTCCAGGTTGGTGGTGTTCTCAGCATAGAACAGGATGGGTCGATAGTACTTGTTGCCGGGGTTCTATCAGAGTAAGTATTGGGAAGAAGAGGACCCTGTTGTCATCTGGACAGCTGGACTTACCAGAATGCTGAAACAGGTTAGCTATCTGTCGAGAACGAGAGGAAATGGCTTGCTTACGATCCCGTGCCGGCCTCAAACTCATTCCACCAACGTTGACCCTGACCCTCGATGACACCCTCACCATAGATCTTGATATCGTGGCCGCCCCATTTCCCTTTCATGTTGTCAGCACTGAGCAAGAAGGCCTTTCGGGAGAGGCATATACTAACAGAACATAATGGAGCGCTGGAAGGGGTGGTACCACGCGTTCTTCTGCCAGTACTCGACGTCGTTCGTGAACTGCATGCCATCAGCAACCGCCAAATTTAAATGTCTATGCCCATGAAACCGACCTTGATCTCGCCGTCCAAGCGGACGTGAATATCACTTAGGCCCGTTAGATCCAGAACCTTGCCAATGACAAAAGTTTCTCCCTCGGGCAGGTAAAGGGTGCCGCCGTTGTTGGCCTCTTCGACACCCTTCTTGAACTCGGCTGATACGTCATCTTCATCATCCTCAGAGGCTCGAATCCTGACGATCTTGCGGCAACCGGGTTTAGGATTCTTGTAGGGGTGCTTGTCGCGGAACTCGAGCACATTTCTCGGAACGCCTGGCGGTAGAGAGACGGCCTCGACGGCAGCCGTGGCTGCGACGGCAACGAAAGACAGGACCTGTGAGAAGCGCATGGCAGCAGTGTGTGTGATCGGGCGATGGTCTTCTGTCTCAGAACTGCGATGACACCATACCACCAAGCTTCATGGTGTGGGCGAGGAGCTTGAGCACTTTTATACCCTTGACTTCCAGGCTCTTTATGACTCTGGTGAACCGCAGGCATGGATTCCCCTCATTCTGGCGGAGGGTTCAGTGGGTATTCCGCTTGAGATACGGGGTTTCCAAGACGGACTGTCGGGACAGGGGGGCAGCGGTTCCATTGCTACTCGGGCTATCATCGTGGTTTGGGTCATGCGAGTGCGGGGCGGCATGTAACCAACGCGTCTCCGCGTCCTTTGCGGGTACGGTAGAGTAGGCTGCGAGGAGGCCTTGAAGCTCTCATCAGGGAGCTTCATGAAAGCTCTCCCCGCCGGAAAAGCGATGCAGATGCCGATTGGATGCGGGGAAAGCTCTGGGGAAGCTTGGGGGAGGTCGGGGTAGCTCGGCGATGGCCCTGGTCGCGGTAGATTAAGGTCGTGGGGGAAGATCCGTCAAAGGTTATCGAGAGCCATTGGTGGAAGTTTCATGCAGGATATCTCCGATCCTGAGTGGGCTGGTCCCTGCAAGGCCTAAGTAGCTCGACGGGTCCTGCTTAGTCTGAGCCAAGGTGGTGTTTGGTTCGTTTGGTTACTCTGATGATATCAGGTTGGCGTTAACCGTTGCTGGCCTGGCCTCAAGGTTATCGTTTGTTTGGGTGCGTGATACATGGGGCTCTGTCTAGTCCTCTCTCTCCGTTGGTGGTGGTCGGTTAGCGGCTTAACTGCCGATCCCAGAGTGACTTGGTGGCGCCACAACAAACCAGGGGTACTTTACAAACGAGATATCCTGGAGCAAGCGGGAGACGTCACAAATCTTTCACTCGACTGTATGGTTGATTTTTGCGAATAGAGACTGAAGATAACAGCGTTGACTGAAAGCCCAAACAATGTGAGTGACAAAGCTCGCCCACCGTAGACTTCTCTCGGGCATTGGGCAAACAGACCGCGATTGGTTATTTTAAGACAACCGAGAAAGCAATCTCGTGGGCTTCCCGATCGCATGGTTTGTGGTCGCATGCAGAGAGCTGATCTCAAGGGTTTCACACGGGGAAGCGAACTTGCACTCTGCGATCCCGACGGCTTGGAGCGGACCTATCCTTTACAACACCCCTGACTTTCCCTAGGAGATGTCGCATTCAGCTGAAGTCACATGTGGTTGAGTGCCATCGATCGCCTGCTACTGCAGGTGAGGCTGTCAGTACTATGTGGCTCACAACCTAGTCGGCAAAGTCGGCATCTTACGGTCTGTGAAGTTTTCACGGACTATTACCATGAGATGAATGCTATTACAAGAGAAACCAAGCTAGATGGCACCATTGAAATGTCAAAGTTATATAGAAGCCATGTGTATTCCTTTTCGGGAAGATTTGGCCGTTCAAAGAAACTAAATCAAACAGCGAAGGCAGCACCAGCCAGTATCATCTGATCGACAGAGACGCGGTACTAGCTACAGCTTTGTGTACTGTTAGTTGCGAAATTGCAATATCCCTCAGCAGGAATTGTTTCCTGTTGTCTTTTTAGTATGACAAAGAAATAGGAAGAAATGTTGGTTCCAGGAAATCATCAAAAGGTAGCGACTGTAATTCCACAGCCACACGATCTGGGCAATTTCCATCATGATTGTATAGGGTTAGGGTTGTTATTGCAGTCGACTAACCTGGCTCAGCTCCAAGCAGCAGCTCTGGCGTCAAGGGTTCCCAGCCCCAAACACCAATGCCGCAAGGTCTAAGTCTCCCCCTGCTGCTGAATATGCCGAACATTACCAACAATGACGCCCGGCAAGGGAAAAACCCCTCTTGCACTCTAAAAGCTGCATATGCGATAGTAGTCAAGGTCCGTTTCCGATCATCCAACGGACACTGTCGACGCCCGTGGCGAACCTTCGTGTCTTTATCCGACCCGCCGGGGGAGCCCCTCACTACCCCCTCCCGCTGAATGGTGGCATTTCCATCACGGCCCTGGCGCATGCCACTTGACCAAATTTGCGAGCAGATCATCCTACAAGTGCGTTGCCCAGCCTTCGAGACATATCACCGGCATCGGGCTCCGCTTCACCGCCGAGTCATTCATGTGTGCTCCCTCTTGCTGTTCGGGGCTGCTCTCCCGTGTCACGGCCTTGCAATCTTTTCATTCGACTGGTGAACGCCTGAGATCCTATAGGTAGCCCGCCGCGTGCAGTTTTGAAAATGTCGAATTGGTTTGCTTGCTTTACACAGGATGCACTACTTAAGTGTGCAAATCGAGGAACTGATCTTATCGGCCAGTCAGAGCGAAGCCTGATTCAAATTCCCTTGTTTGCTTCGGTAGAGACTTTCTCGCGACATTTTCGACCCATACCATCGAGTTCATCGTGCGTTTTGCTATCGTCACAGCATCGAGCATACAAAATTGATGCACGCTGTGAGCTTTACACTGTCAAGGTGTGGCAAACACTTCAGAGCCCTTCGGACTTGGTAAAGCTGCCTGCACGCAAATCATTAGCTCACTCAAGCAGCACCCTGTTTTGGCTGGCAGATGGTTGTCGATAATCCTGCTATCCGCCAACGGAGGGAATACATTGGCAGATAGCGCGGGGCACACAGTCTTGACAAGATACATGTGACGCGGGACTAGGAGACTTGAGTGGTAAAAGACCCAGATCGGTCACCGAAGTCGGCAGCCATTCCAGAGTGGTAAGCAAGCAAGGTAGTCGGGGTTTGATCTACTACTTGCCTTACCTTACTTTCGTCACTTTTCTTCATCTTGGTCATTCTGTCCCGTCGCCGATACCTCATACCAGGATAGCGTCGGAAGCGCAACGGCCTTTGGTCAGTCGCCCCAGCCCAAGAGGACAAAGTCATACCCATTCTCAGCGCAACACACTACTAAGTGAATGCTCGAATACCGTCATCAGCATTCTCCACATCAACGTTGCCTTTCTTCTTTGCCGCGGGCACTGGCGTAGCTGACTTGAGACCCGATATGAACAGTGAGTTCAATGTGTGGGCTTGAGAAAACTGGTACGATGCGCCTCGTTCACGTCGTGAACGACCTCCGTCACTTGCTTCTGTTGTCGATTCTGCACAATTCAAGTGCTACATGTTCGCACGCGAGACCAATACAGATTGGTTGTTCTTGAGGCTGTCCGGCACCCACAAGTGCGGCTGAGTCGGGGACGGCCATACCTCCTGACAACCTCCAGGTTCTGATTTGCTGAGGAAGGTTGTCAGCACGGGTCTAATTACGCCGAATTCTCCTGAGTTTCCATCATAGGTCAGGAGTAAGACATGGGAATACAATGGCGTGTACTTTTCCAAATGTTGCGAGGTTTTCCCAGCCAGATTCTGTTACCTGTCTGTGTATAGCCCTCGGGTCGAACTTCTCTGCGCTTTCCATTCATGGTCAACCGCTTTCGTTGTCGCTCGCCATCATCACCATGCGAGACCTCGTCTTGTTTATGCTACTCTCTCGGATAACCTGCGCCCAGGTTACACAGCATGTAACCGACCTCTCGATCTTTAGCCTCCTCGCCCCGTGTGCCTCCTCCGCCATTGCGAACAAGGTCAATACCCTCACCGCGTCCACTGCCATTGGATGTGGCACCGCCGACCCTGAATTGCAATCTTGCATCTGTTCGCAGAGCGACGTCTCAAGCCAGGTCGCAAAGAATGTGTCTGAAGCTGTACAAAGCCGCTGTGGCCAGACCGCCACGGATGATCTATGGAGTGCCTCTGAGGTAATGAGGAAGTTCTGCAATCCGGGCGAGGCAGTGACACTTCCAACACCGACGATGGGTACTGTGACGCAGTTCATTACCGACATCGACAAAATGAGCTTCCTGCCACCCTGTGTATATTCTGGGATATCATGGGTCGTCATGTTCTCGGTACAGTTTCCCCACGGCAACGGACCCGAATCAGAGACCTGACGGAGTTGCAGGCTTCATCGCACTGCCCCCGAAGCGCTAGCCTGTATGCGCCTTGCGTGTGTAGCAAGAGCGACGTCGTTGACCTGGTTCGCTCGAACCTGACAAGCAGAATCCTCGATCGATGCGACAACAGAGAAGACGTCGAATTGGCTGACCAAGTGTACTCAGAGTACTGCGCCATGAATAATGGTACCACAGCCTTTGCGGCGGTCGCCATGCCGCCAGGAGATAGTACGTACATGAGCGAGAAAGTTGATGAAAAGCACAGCTTACAGGAACTAACTCGCTGCAGTGACATATCACATCACAGCCTTATCCCAATACTCTTCTCTTCCCGAGTGCGCCAGAGAGGCTGTTTCTAGCGCTGTTATTGACGTGAGTCTCGGCAATGGCGCTCCACAAACACCGAGAGAACAAGTCTGACGATAGCTGCAGCAAACAAGTTGGAACTGTGCTGCAGGCCCACAAGCCATTGCCTCGTGTGTGTGCATCAAGGAGGGAATGCTCCACAAGGTCTATGAGAGCATGACAGCACGCGCAGGAATCAACTGCGGCTTCACAAACAAGGAGCCCATGTATTCAGCCATCGATGTACTGAACTACTACTGCAGCGCCGCCGAGAACAAAGTTGTTGCTCTGGTCACTGATACGGCCACCCAACTGTACCCTACAGCCTCGGAAGGCGGAGGAGCTGGGGCGGATGGCGCGAGGCAGACGGGGGGTAATTCCGTAAACGATGACCAAAGCGAGAGCGGTTCAGCATTTGGCCCAGGAGTCATTGCTGGCGCTGCCGTTGGGGGCGTTGTTGGCCTTGCTGCCATCATTGGGGCTGTCGTCTGGTTTGTGCGGCGACGCAGGAGGGCGCACGATGCCAGGATGGCTGTCATTGCGCCTCCCAGTGATCACCCCAAGCCAGAGCTCGACGGCAGCGGACAGAATGCACCTCGCGCCGAGCTTGGTGCTCTAGTGAGCAGCTTCACACAAACACAAAAGTCATTGTCGCCTGATCAAGAGACTGGCGGTTCTGAAC